AAAATGGGCGAGAATTGCTTGTACACCAACATCGTGCGCAGGGCCACGGAAAACTGTTTTTTATTGCTTTTATAAAATAACAAGCGCTCAAATATTCATGAGAAAAAAAAAAGCCGAGAAAAAAAATGACGTGAGCGTGTATTATGCTCTCATCAAACACGGCTTTTTGGCCAATCACAGCGCGCGTAATATGAAAGTTATTTTATAACATTGTATTAAGCACCGTGTTATAATGTTCACTTAATCCAATGGTGTTTCCCCATGGCTTGTCACGAAACTCAAATGATTGTGTTTGTGATAGCGATTGTAGTAGTTATGTTTATCAATGGCTAGTGGAAGATAAGATTACCTGACTAGCATGCTTCTTTGTTGTACAGAGCTTAAAGCAGCTCCCTTCGGCTGCATGTAATAACTTCAACGGGTACTGTGATGTGCTACTCAAGTGTCGTCAAGTTGATGCAGACGGACCTCTCAACAGACTGCGTAAGCAGTTTTTCAGCAAGGCTCCCACATATGGCGTGACCCACCATCATTTTGAGACCATTGGCCACTGGCTCTGTATGAACCTCCTTTTCCGTATCCTTTCCACTCTAGATGTTTTCAATTAGGAAACGGCCATTCCAGCAATTTGAGGTTTAGAAATGTCATTTTAGAAATGCAATTTCTTGAATTTCGGCAAAGTGTACTAATTCTGATTTCGGAAGTAGTGTTTGCTCGTACAGCCAAATAATTTGCGAACAAATTCGCAGTCTATATATGATTTACCTAATTTTACAGCACTGAAAATTACAAACAATGTAGCATTGAACCTCTTTTATGTTCACTCATAGGAGCGCAACTATGACGTCACAACATACGTCATATTAGTCTAAACTGTATGGGACTTTTGCTTGATTCTAGACTAGATAAGAAGTTGAAAGCTTTAATAAATAGTTGGAGTATAAATTTATCAAATATTCGTTTTAAATCCAGCTAATATTTAGCGAAAAAGCAGTAGAAAGCATGCATGATTAACGAGAAAACTACCATGACGTCATCTCCAAAGATGAACTTAGGGCATTGACCATGCGCATTACGTCTTCGTACGTGCAAGGACAGGGTGTTTGGCAACTAGAATCTAGATCGAATTTTATGTTCTTCAATTTATCACGGAATATTTCCCCGATTTTTTTATATATTTCTACCGAATCCATTCTATAGAGTATACTGTGTCTATCAGTGNATTCAGAACAGGAAAGAGGCCAAGAATACTGTCTTAGCTACATTTTCACCTATCGTGACTTTGACAATGGTGTGCTAGGTCTGGCATGGGTGGGAGACATAACAAGTAAGTTAGAGGAAAAATATTGTACAAATGGTAGATTAATAAGCCTTTTTTTTTTCATTCAATGTGAGTAACCGCTACAATTTTAGTAGACAGCAGACTCACTTGCATAGAGAACAAAAAAAACACACAAAAAATTTGAATCTTCTCCAATTTGAAGCTAATCCTGTATTCCCACTAGACCTAGAGTTTGAGCCTTCTGGGAGTACAGGCTTAGCCTGTATTTTTTGTGCTTTMTTTTGTTTTTGGTAAGGTCTTTGTTCATGAGGGACTGTTGTCAAATAGAGCAGATGTTGCTCACTTTGAATGGGAAAAAGGATAATATTGATCTGTTTTTGAATTGACCAACTTTTTTCTTTTCTAACGCCTAGATGCTGGTGGAATATGTGAAAAAATGAGGACCTTTCAAAATGGTAAGAAGTCACTAAACACAGGAGTGGTAACATTTATTAACTACGGCAAAGCTGTTCCTCAGAGAGTTTCAGAGATTACATTTGCTCATGAAGTTGGTCACAATTTTGGTTCTCCTGTAAGTAGTAAATTTAACAATAAATTAAAATGATGCACATGTATTTCTGCAAAAACGTTTTGAAAAGATCTAAATTATACCATATGTATGTTACTTGTTGCAGCATGATAGCTCAGCAGCCTGTACTCCTGGTGGTTCCTCAGGGAATTTCATCATGTTTGCCCGTGCCACAGAGGGAACCAAGCCCAACAACCGACGTTTCTCCTCATGCAGTATTAACAAGATCAAACCAGTATTAGACACCAAAGGGATATGCACTGATGACAAGTGTTGTTTCAAAGGTAATGTTCA